CCCCCCCCCCCCTGTAGCGCCGCCCCTGAACCCAGTGCATGAGCTCTCTTGTGATATTTTTCACTCGGAAATAAGACAGGATCGAATGTTCTCGAGTGAATGATTCCAACCGCGCAAAATGTTAGGTACTAGTGCAGTGATCAATGGATATCCAGAACATAATGAAATAAACTGTACAACGACTCAACAAATTCCACAAGGCATTTTTACCACGAGGTGTGGCACTCATCAACTGTAACCATGATGCTTTGTGGTTTTTAAATCTTGTCTTAAAAGTGTTTTCCGTCAGTTCTGACATAGGTTTAGTTTGTTAATAGATATGTCTTTGGTTATAACTGTTGGTTGTTGCACGACCGATTCGGTTAAGTATTTTATGACAGCGGGCATTCAATCTTTCCTGCAGTTACAGGGGGGAGGGCTTATCCCCCAAACAAAAGTGAGAGGGCTATATATAGGGGGCTTTTCCCCCGCCCCTTCCGCCGCCACTGTAAGCAGGGCCAGGTGTTTTACAATGTCCTACTGTCAGGGCCGTCGCGAATAGGCTAAAGCAGGGGGATGTAGTATCGCATTTACCGACAACATTTCAGCCGCTAATTAATATTTCTTTTCCCAAAACTGTTTGAGGGGAGGGAGGACGAAAACGTCAAAAACATTTTTCCGGACATTAATTAAAATTCCCAGTAAATTTTCGATTACCTTACCATTATTCGTAACATGTTTTGTAAATTTCTACAAATTTTTGCTAATATACTATAAATTTTTACTCAATGTCAGTCACATATTGTAGTTCTTTTCCTTCCTATCCAATTCAACTTTTGCTGAGAAGACAACGAATACAATTTGCCGACAAATCCGTCGTTTTTGCCGATAACATGTTCTCAGGGGCGCGTCACACCCCACACCCTACCCTAGCGGCGGCCTTGCCTGCTGTTAGTAAGTAAAAAGTACATGGTATCACGATCGTATTCAACTCTTGGTATTCAACCATATATTCAACCCTTTATATTACCCCAGGAACCCTTGCTTGGTACAGTCTAGCCTGCTCACAGGCTCTATTATAGACAACGGCCTGCGAGCAGGCTAGGTACAGTCCTCTTTGAATTTATTTTAATTTTTTGCCGCTGACCTACCGTGCGCGCAGAAAATTAAAATGGTGGACGAAGCGACGAAAAAAACACTTGCTGCAATTCCTCTATTAAAGACAAAAGCCGGACCGAGGGATAAAGATTCATGGGTGATACGATTAAAGGAAGAATATAGTTCCCTGATTAAGGTGAGCAATTCCTACTGGCTCTTTGTGTGCTGTTTCTCGTTGTATGCAGCACCTAAAAGTGTCGAACTTGAAAATAATTAAATATAAAGTGACGTGTTATAAGGGACAAATAGATTTCGTCCTGTTTCACGGGCAGAAGAAGAGGGTTTACATAGCTGAGAATCCCCATCTATTAATTAACTCTGACGAAATGGACTTTTCCGTGTGAACTAAGCATTTAAAAGTTTGCGATTGGTACTACTACCAGATTGGAAAGTTTGCAAGTTTACATGTGCGGGTGATATCAAATTTTGCATGGCTACTTTGATATTTTGCATTTTTTCCAGGCAGCCTCACAATATTGCACGGGAAATTCTGTTTTTCTTGGCTTTAGGTGTATAATTTTACTATTTCTATTACCAAGTATTATCAAAGTGAACCTGTCTTGAAAGTACTTGGGTGCTACTAAAAATGTGTGTGGGATTTTATATTTTGTCTGCATGCTACACATTTTCCAGTTGGTGCTAGGAAAGGTGGAATTGTGGAACACATCTAAGCAAGTCCATGAAGCTGGGCAAAATCTATAACGTTCTGAAGGGTCTGCTCCACATTAGGTGTTATTCTCAATTATATTTATATATACTAGAAATACACCTGACTGGACAGTTTGAAAATTGTCAAAGTTTGAAAAGCATCAAAATTGTATGTCTGATATCTTGGTTGCCTGATACAAACTTTCCACATTGCAAAATACATGCATGCAGCAATTCCTTGCCTTTCCAACCAAACAACTATGATCAGGTTCCCAAATACAGTGTGAAAACAAGTAAATTCATACAGTTAAAAAAATTTAATTAAAAGAAATATTATACCTCAACTTTAACGGCATTTGTACCACGTGACACTGTGATTTTTTACGTTATTTCACTCAAATCCATGATTATGCAATGCAGCATATAAAGGGTACATCGACAAATAAATTTTGTCCACCAATCGCAGACTTGTTCCGTGATTGCTTCAACCCCCTCCCCCATTGCGGACCGATCCAACGATTTTTTAGGCAGAAAAGTTTTTGTCCTGATTATTTTGTATTCGCGGATTCAAGGCTGACCCCCACCCCCCATTGCGGAACAAATCCGCGATTGGTGGAGAAAATCTATTTGTCGACAGCCCCTAATTGCTCAGGGGATTCAGCAATCACCCTCAGTGATAATGATATTTCCCCTTGCTCCAGGTCTATAAAGTATAAATTGTGAGACTGCATATTGCAAATGCATAGTTACACCAAGTACTCTCTAGGTCTGAGCCCGCGGTGGAGTGCACGGAGTTGGCGGGAAGGAACGTTGGCGTTTCGTTTTGTGAGAAACAATCAGTTTTGTATAAGCGATTTTATATTAAATATATGTTCATATTCAGTTTAACAATGGTAGCAGAGGAGTAAGTGATTCACAATGGCAAGTAAATTTACACCACCGCCGGTTTTTGATGAAAAAAAGAGTTGGATTGACTACAAAAAGGAGATTAAAATATGGCAAGCGTTGACAGATTTACCGGCGAAGAAGCAAGGTCCTAGTTTGTATTTATCTTTGAGCAGAAAAGCGAGGGAGGCAGCGTTAGAGATTGACATAGAAGAGCTTAAGAAAGATACTGGCGTACAAACCATTTTAGAGCGATTGGATAAATTGTATTTACAAGATACTAACCAAAGTGCATACATAGCGTATCAAAATTTTGAGAGTTTTAAGCGACCAGAGAGCATGCCAATAAAAGAGTACTTGATTCGGTTTGAACAATTGTATACGAAGATAAAAGATCACAACATGACCCTACCTGATGGCGTATTGGCATACCGAGTGTTAAATTCTGCAAATTTAAACCAGGAAGAAATAAAATTACGCTGAGCAATTAACAATCGCTGAGTTGAAATATGATGCGATGGTGAGTCAACTGGTTAGAATTTATGGTGATTCAGCATCACCAAGCTTTATTAAATCTGAGGACAGGGTGAAAGAGGAAACAGTATTTTATGGTGGTGTTTCCAGACAGGTGCGAGAGGAAAATGGCAGGTCATCGCGAGACAGACCTTACCAGAGAAGGGGATATAATCCAAGGGGAAGATTACCATACAGAGCATCAAGAGGAAATCGGGATGTCAATGGTATACAATGCAAAGATTACGGTGAACCTTCAAGCAGGCAAAGAAAATTAAACCCTGTTGATCATTATGGAAATATTTCGAGATGCAACATTTGTGAAAGCAAATTCCACTGGGCACGGAATTGCCCTGATG